GAAATACGTAAACTCCACTTCAACCTGCCCACGTGAAATCTGGTTCCAAGAATGTACTAAAATAACCCTCACCATTATCCAAAATATGAATGAAGATTTCACTACCCCTCCCCCCACACACACACACACGTGTATGTTGTGAGGACGAGCGAGTTAAAGATTACATCACACAATGCCCTCACCCCCTCCGTTGAGATATCGACGTGTGGATGAGTGAGTAATGACCCGACGCTCTCGTGCGTGAAGGTATTTTCTACTCACCCCCGTCTTGAGAAGAGAGATGGAAGCTTTCGGCTTGATTAAACCCTAAACATGTCCGCCCCACCCTCACAGGTCATAGCCCAGACCCAGATGTATTTCGCCCCGATAGTTTTCCGTGTATCGATTGTTTGTTCTTTTGTTATGACTTCCGCAGACGTCCTAATCGTCCGCTATTTGGTAATCTGTTTTTGATTTATCGTTTTCCCTTCTCAAATTTTATTAACTCTACTTATGTGGAATAGGAGGGGAAAAAATATCTCCCAAGTTCTAAATTTAATTACTTAATCAAGCGGTTAATAAAAAGCAAGAGTTAATTCTGATTTATAGCAATCTACGAATAAAATAAACAGTTTTTTAGACATAAATCTTGTCAACAGACATTCATGTAAACAAACGCTTCAGTTTAGGAAAAAAAGAAATTATTTTTTTAAAACAGCTTTTCTAAAATTACATTAGCATTTTCCTCCTTCAAAATTTAATTTATCCTCTGGTGTCTGCCATCCGGAATTCCCTCCCTTCTCACCCCCCCCCCCCCCCCCCCACACACACACACACTCACACTTCAATTCCTTATTTTCAAATACCAGAAAAAGGCGGGAAGATGTCTAGGTAAAATATGTTCAGACGGGATATTTTTAAAAAACATTTGAGTGCGCATGTCTGGTGCGCATCGACGCAGACCGTCGCTTCCTATCGATTAAAACACAAACCGTCGACCAGAAATAACTTTCACATCGCTAGTTGGCCAGAGTTTTTTCAACAACGGGTGCTAAATGTGGGAACGGAATTCCATCTTTGAAAACAAAAATAAACTTTCTTACAATCTTACGATGAGTAATGGTGATATTGCGTCCAGACGACCCCCCCCCCTTACCCCCTTTTAAATCCCCTCCCACCCCTCCATTTAGTTTACATTATGTGTCTATTTAAGACTTTATTGTATACATACCCAGTACCGTTTAGCCGCACACTTAATAATAATTGAACGTTACCGTCAAATCAATACATTTCAATCTATTTTTTATGTACATTCTGAATTCTTCAGACTCCACAAGGATGAACCGCCCCAGACTATAAAATTTGCTGGTGACACCAGAAATTAAGATAAATCTGGAGTCAGTTTTTTTTAGGTTTTTTTATTACAGCTTTATTCCTCAATGACAAAACACAGCAGTGTTCCATCAACTGTTACAGTTAACAGCGTCAGTCGTGTATACTGGATAAAGCTGATTTGCTAATCTATATTCGATGACATGGGAGCCGACCGGTTATATACGTGGTGGGGGAGGGGGGCGTCAACCGCCAACATAGGTAAAGCAGAGGTTAACCGGCTATACTAGTAAAGCAGAAGTTAAACGGCTCTATAGGTAAATGGGAGATCAATCTATACAAACTCCCTTGCCCGCCCACCCCTTCAATTGTATGCAAACAGTAAGGTTTGATATAGATACGAAAAACGTTTTCGATTTGGATACACAAAGTATGGCATGGGTATGATTTTTAAAAAGTTTGATTTCGATTTCGTGACACACCGTCTGTTTACCAAACACAGCAACCTACAGGCTCCGCGAACCACAACTTCCTAATGTTGGTTGCTGTGTGGAACTTCCGGTATGATGTAATTAGCCCAACTATTTTTATGTTGACTCGCCTTCACCAGGTGCACACCTTGCTTTGAGTGTATATGTGGTTACGTTTAATTTACAGAGCGCCCTACGCCAGCCAATGGGGGGGGGGGGGGGAGGGGGATATCATAGGGTAGTGAAGGGGAATGATACAACCATTTTGGCACACCGTTTATATATATATATATATATATATATATATATATATATATATATATATATATATATATACAGTAAATATTTGTAGCATAAATAATAAAAATATAATAATCAATCAACATCGCGACTGTCTAACACAGCATGTTTCGCTTTACAGAGAAATCTCCAACCCGTGGTCCGTCCCCCCACATCCCCCACCCCGGAGGTGGGAACATTGCACATGCATTTTGTACTGTAGGGCGGAGTGGTCGAGCAGTAGAACCCGTCTGTTTGATCATGTCCCGAGGTTGGTCAAGTCCCTCCCTAGCTTGGGTCGTGGGATGTTGAGGTTATAGACTGACCACACGACCTCTACGTGGAGAGGGGGGTGGGGGGTGGGTCTGATGAAGTCAACTTTGTGGTGTTAAATAGTGAAGGATTAGTGAAGTTTGTGTTTAGTGGATTAGTAGAGTTGGTCGGATTAGTAGAGTTGGTCGGATTAGTAGAGTTGGGTGGATTAGTGGAGTTTGACTGGCGGTGGAGAAATGTAAGAGTGTGTGCTCTGTGCTTAGAATTATTAACAGAATATACGTTTAGAACACCCAGTGGCACCAAAATTTCGACCACTAAGACATACACACCAGCGATCCTTTACTGCCCCTTGTATCTATTTTACATGATCAAGGTTTGTCTCCAACTGGTCGTATTTTCCATAAGGTGGAGGCGAAGTGGGCAGGAGAAGGGGAGATAACAAGAGCTCTTATCCAAAAGACAGTTGTCTGCTCATCAAGATTCAAGACGGGTCCCTTGCTCAATTGATTATCATATTTTCTTAGTTGCTCCAACTCAATTAGCATATGCGTGGGGTGATGGGTAGGAATAGATCTATGCTTTGTGTGTGTGGATAGGAATAGATCTATGCTTTGTGTGGGTGTTGTATATGAATAGATCTATGCTTTGTGTGGGTGTTGGATAAGTAGATCTATGCTTTGTGTGGGTGTTGGATAAGTAGATCTATGCTTTGTGTGGGTGTTGAATAAGTAGATCTATGCTTTGTGTGGGTGTTGTATGAGTAGATCTATGCTTTGTGTGGGTGTTGGATAGGAATAGATCTATGCTTTGTGTGGGTGTAGTATAGAAATAGATCTATGCTTTGTGTTGGTGTTGGATGAATAGATCTATGCTTTGTGTGGGTGTTGGATAAGTAGATCTATGCTTTGTGTGGGTGTTGGGTGAGTAGATCTATGCTTTGTGTGGGTGTAGTATAGGAATAGATCTATGCTTTGTGTGGATGTAGTATAGGAATAGATCTATGCTTTGTGTGGGTGTTGGATGAGTAGATCTATGCTTTGTGTGGGTGTTGGGTGAGTAGATCTATGCTTTGTGTGGATGTAGTATAGGAATAGATCTATGCTTTGTGTGGGTGTTAGATGAGTAGATCTATGCTTTGTGTGGGTGTTGGGTGAGTAGATCTATGCTTTGTGTGGATGTAGTATAGGAATAGATCTATGCTTTGTGTGGGTGTAGTATAGGAATAGATCTATGCTTTGTGTGGGTGTTAGATGAGTAGATCTATGCTTTGTGTGGGTGTTGGGTGAGTAGATCTATGCTTTGTGTGGGTGTTGGGTGAGTAGATCTATGCTTTGTGTGGGTGTTGGATGGGAATAGATCTATGCTTTGTGTGGGTGTTGGATAAGTAGATCTATGCTTTGTGTGGGTGTTGGATGGGAATAGATCTATGCTTTGTGTGGGTGTTGGATGGGAATAGATCTATGCTTTGTGTGGGTGTTGGATAAGTAGATCTATGCTTTGTGTGGGTGTTGGATGAGTAGATCTATGCTTTGTGTGGGTGTTGGATAAGTAGATCTATGCTTTGTGTGTGTTGGGTAAGAATAATATTAAATCTATGCTGTTTTTGTGTGGGGCAAGGATAGAAATAAATCTATCCTTTTATTGTGCGTGTGGTGTGAGACAGGAATAAATCTAAGATTTTCTGTGCCTTCTTCACTAGCAGTTCACGTCTTGCCCACCCCACCCCCTCCCCCTTACCTCACTGACCCCCCCCCCCCCCGCCCCTCCCTAGTGTTTTGTGGCTGGCATTGTCCCATCACGTGATTTACATACTGGACAGATAGGGTCATGTTGGGAGTTTTTTATCACATAAAGGTTTGGTGGTCACTTGGCCAACACTACTTCAATGGTCAACATGACATTGGGTGACACTTGACATGTAGGACTACAGTATGACGAATGTTGGCCAACAGGACATATAGAGTAAGTCCGCATGAGCAGGACATATTGGGGGCACATGGCCTGTAGGACATTTTGGCCAACAGGAAAGATTAGCTCATTGTGAACTGACTTGTAGAGTGACCATTGGCCAACAGGATGTCTAGGGTAAATCCTGGCCAAAAATATTTATATTTTGAGGAGTTTTGGCCAGAATGTCACCTGGCCAACAAGAGTATTGTAAAGGACACCGTATTAGAGCAAGACTAGTCTCTATATAGGCTGCAACTCTTAGAGATAACCTTTGTAACCAGTTTGTTTTCTCTTTCTTTCAGTCATAGAGGCTAGAAATTTGTGTCCAATGGACCCCAATGGTTTAGCCGACCCCTACGTCAAACTTAAAATTATACCTGCCTGTTTGTTTCTTGTTTCTTTCAGTCATAGAGGCTAGAAATTTGTGTCCAATGGACCCCAATGGTTTAGCCGACCCCTACGTCAAACTTAAAATTATACCTGCCTGTTTGTTTCTTGTTTCTTTCAGTCATAGAGGCTAGAAATTTGTGTCCAATGGACCCCAATGGTTTAGCCGACCCCTACGTCAAACTTAAAATTATACCTGCCTGTTTGTTTCTTGTTTCTTTCAGTCATAGAGGCTAGAAATTTGTGTCCAATGGACCCCAATGGTTTAGCCGACCCCTACGTCAAACTTAAAATTATACCTGCCTGTTTGTTTCTTGTTTCTTTCAGTCATAGAGGCTAGAAATTTGTGTCCAATGGACCCCAATGGTTTAGCCGACCCCTACGTCAAACTTAAAATCATACCTGCCGAGGCCCAGAGACTAAAGTTGAAAACCAAAACAATCAAAGCCTGTCTGAACCCAGTCTGGAACGAAAGCTTCACAGTGTAGGTCAATTAATTAGACTAATTAGAGATCTGCCACTGATGTATAACTGTTTGTTTATAATTGAATTAGTCTAGAAAATGTATTAAAAAGATAAAGATAAAATTATTAGTAGTAGAATCTAGTGCGTGCAAGTGTGGGTGGAATGGCTTAGAGGTAGAGCACTAGAGTGCTAACCTTGAAGTCTCGAGTTTGAATCTGGGTTCAAGTCAATAGAACTTCCCTAAGCCCACCCTGCTCTGTTGGGTACCTAACTCACATTAAGGAAAGTAAAGGTGGCTGGGCATAGAGCTGACCATACTACCTCTTTATATGCCAAGGTCACAAAAACAGGTGAACTCTACTTCACAAACCCAATAGATTGTCATGTTTTAAATGGAACTTTCCTACTTTACTCACATACCTAATTGTATGCTTATAACCAACATATTCTTAAGTTATCAATAATATTTCAGTAATAGTTTTTATTAGCTTTCTGTTCAAATATATTATTCATGAATGCCGTTTTCATAATTGTGATACTACAGATCATTAGATTCAGACTGTGATACATTAGTCTGATTCACATTCATGTTGTGGTATTGTGATACATTAGTCTGATTCACATTCATGTTGTGGTACTTTCTGTTTGTGTAATGACTTCCTTGTATCCCTAGGTACAGCTTATGTGTGGGTTAATGGTCTAGACGCCTCCCCTGGGTTAGGCTTATCTGTTGTTTGTCCACAGGGAGGTGGGGCCCGACGATCACGCCCCTCCCCCTGGGTTAGGCTTATCTGTTGTTTGTCCACAGGGAGGTGGGGCCCGACGATCACGCCCCTCCCCCCTGGGTTAGGCTTATCTGTTGTTTGTTCACAGGGAGGTGGGGCCCGACGATCACGCCCCTCCCCCCCCTGGGTTAGGCTTATCTGTTGTTTGTTCACAGGGAGGTGGGGCCCGACGATCACGCCCCTCCCCCTGGGTTAGGCTTATCTGTTGTTTGTTCACAGGGAGGTGGGGCCCGACGATCACGCCCCTCCCCCCTGGGTTAGGCTTATCTGTTGTTTGTTCACAGGGAGGTGGGGCCCGACGATCACGCCCCTCCCCCCTGGGTTAGGCTTATCTGTTGTTTGTTCACAGGGAGGTGGGGCCCGACGATCACGCCCCTCCCCCTGGGTTAGGCTTATCTGTTGTTTGTTCACAGGGAGGTGGGGCCCGACGATCACGCCCCTCCCCTGGGTTAGGCTTATCTGTTGTTTGTTCACAGGGAGGTGGGGCCCGACGATCACGCCCCTCCCCCTGGGTTAGGCTTATCTGTTGTTTGTCCACAGGGAGGTGGGGCCCGACGATCACGCCCCTCCCCCTGGGTTAGGCTTATCTGTTGTTTGTCCACAGGGAGGTGGGGCCCGACGATCACGCCCCTCCCCCTGGGTTAGGCTTATCTGTTGTTTGTTCACAGGGAGGTGGGGCCCGACGATCACGCCCCTCCCCCTGGGTTAGGCTTATCTGTTGTTTGTTCACAGGGAGGTGGGGCCCGACGATCACGCCCCTCCCCCTGGGTTAGGCTTATCTGTTGTTTGTCCACAGGGAGGTGGGGCCCGACGATCACGCCCCTCCCCCTGGGTTAGGCTTATCTGTTGTTTGTCCACAGGGAGGTGGGGCCCGACGATCACGCCCCTCCCCCTGGGTTAGGCTTATCTGTTGTTTGTTCACAGGGAGGTGGGGCCCGACGATCACGCCCCTCCCCCTGGGTTAGGCTTATCTGTTGTTTGTCCACAGGGAGGTGGGGCCCGACGATCACGCCCCTCCCCCTGGGTTAGGCTTATCTGTTGTTTGTTCACAGGGAGGTGGGGCCCGACGATCACGCCCCTCCCCCTGGGTTAGGCTTATCTGTTGTTTGTTCACAGGGAGGTGGGGCCCGACGATCACGCCCCTCCCCCCTGGGTTAGGCTTATCTGTTGTTTGTTCACAGGGAGGTGGGGCCCGACGATCACGCCCCTCCCCCCTGGGTTAGGCTTATCTGTTGTTTGTTCACAGGGAGGTGGGGCCCGACGATCACGCCCCTCCCCCTGGGTTAGGCTTATCTGTTGTTTGTTCACAGGGAGGTGGGGCCCGACGATCACGCCAAGAGGTTGTCCCTAGAGGTCTGGGACTGGGACCGGACGTCTAGAAATGATTTCATGGGCTCTCTGTCTTTTGGTATCTCAGAGGTCAGTGGTACCAGATAGGAGGGTTTCTTTCTCCTCAAATCTGATGTTTGTCCTACCTTTAAATCTGATGTTTGTCCTACCTTTTAATCTGATGTTTGTTCTACCTTTAAATCTGATTTTTGTCCTACCTTTAAATCTGATGTTTGTCCTACCTTTAAATCTGATCTTTGTCCTACCTTTAAATCTGATGTTTGTCCTACCTTTAAATCTGATGTTTGTCCTACCTTTAAATCTGATGTTTGTCCTACTTTTAAATCTGATGTTTGTCCTACCTTTAAATCTGATGTTTGTCCTACCATTAAATCTGATGCATGTCCTTCCTTTAAATCTGATGTTTGTCCTACCTTCAAATCTGATGTTTGTCTTACCTTTAAATCTGATGTTTGTCCTACCTTTAATCTGATGTTTGTCCTACCTTTAAATCTGATGTTCGTCTTACCTTTAAATCTGATGTTTGTCTTACCTTTAAATCTGATGTTTGTCCTACCTTTAAATCTGATGTTTGTCCTACCTTCAAATCAGATGTTTGTTTTCTCCTAAAATCTGCTGTTTGTCCTACCTTTAAATCTGATGTTTGTCCTACCTTATGTTACACCTTACTTTCATGCAACTCAACAAAGGCTTCACAGTTGTATTTGTTTTATTCAGGTCATGTTTTTACACAAATCAACGTAACATATTCTAGTTGCTACCGTAAAGCCCCATAACAATCATTCACTTCTCTTTTATACCAGCATTCGACATAGGGACAGCAATACATACACCTATGTTAACTAACCTCGTACACTCCCTATCCCCTAAGTTTTATACTATTCTATCCTATTCTAACCTAAACTCCAAATGACACCTTCAAATCTAAAGTTTGTCCTGCTTTTAAATCATATGTTTTTCCTCCATTCATATCTGATATTTGTCCTCCCTTTAAATATGATGTTTGTCCTACCTTCAAATCTGATGTTTCCTCCCTTCAAATCTAATGTTTATTTTCACTTTTCACCTAATATTTGTTCTGTCTTCAGATTCATGTGTCTTTAAATGTGATATGTGTCATTGTTTTTAAAATGTGTACTGTCTTCTAATTTTATTTGTTTCACATTTCTCTTCTAGTACCCACTGCCGTCTTCTAGAAACACCCTTAAAAATTGGTGCAGCCATACAAAGAATAATTTTATTGCTGTATTTTTAGATAGATATCTAGATAATTCAATTATCCATCCAAGGGAGGGCATCCCCTTCCAACTGATAAGGGAATTAACCCATATACTGTATTTGATTTTTCCATAATATCAAAAAAGGCTCGCTTGCTTATAAATATTTATAAGTTATAACCAGACTTTTATCAGTAAGTTAAAATATGTGGTAGTTAACAATTTTTTACAGAAGATGAATGATACAAAGGATAAGTAATAAACAATAAGATATGTTTAAATTAGAAGTTAGAAAAATGTTAAGGTTTTATTAGATTTCATACTTTTACCCTTTCTCTTATAAGTTTCATGTAAAAGTTTTTTATGATTAAATGAAATAAATTATACGTACCCCCTGGTATTTTCAGCTAATAAAAGCCCCAATAGATGGCTGGTTTAAGCTGTTGAATCAGGAAGAAGGAGAGTTCTATGGGGTGCCTGTCAGTGATGACTACACAGAAGACATCCAGGAAATTAAAAGTAAAATGCATGTAAGTGGGTCACCCCTCTGTCACATTGCTAAATTCCTATTGCACCATTTAGGGATGGCGTGGTCAGGCAAAATAGGGCATAGCTTCAAGCCCAAAAGTCACGAGTTCAAATCTCATGGATTGAGTCTAAAGGACACCCTTGAGTCCACTTAGCTCTAATGGGTACCTGACTCATGTTAGTGAAGATAAAGGTGGCTGGGCATAGTGCTGACCACTTTATCTGTTTATATGTAGAGGTCACAAAAACAGGTGAACTCTACTTCATCTGCTTCCATTGATCATCACACTGGTAATGGTAGCTAACTTACTTTTGTAAAATTTTAAGAAACACCATCCTAAAACTGCTTTATTCAAGAATAAACATTTCTTATTGTATTTGAATACCATCCTGAAACAGCTTTATCTAAAAAAAAACATTTTTAAAATAGTATTTGAATACCCTTCTGTGTTTTGTGTGAGTAGAGATCAAGTATTAGTGAAAGAAAGATTCCAGAACCAGACAAACTACAGAGTATCAGCAAACAGGATATAGTCAGGGCCAGCGACTTCAACTTTCTTACTGTCTTGGGTAAAGGCAGTTTTGGTAAGGTAAGATTTATAACAATCTTTCTTCTGTAAGGTAAGGTTTCTTGCCTTAAGAATCTTTCTTCTGTAAGGTAAGGTTTCTTGCCTTAACAATCTTTCTTTGGTAAGGTTTTCTTCCACTTGCTTTAAGAATCTTTCTCACAGCAATGAATAAAAAAAAACTAATTTATCAGAGTAGGATTATATATTTGGAAGTATATAATAATAAAGCATTTTGTGTTTATATTTGTTAACAAATAAATTCAAATGTTCTAACTTTGATATTTAATAAAACAAAATCAGAATGGTACAGCAAAGATAAAAGATTTTAATGGTTTAACTGACCTACAAAATATGCGTTGTAGTTGGGTTTATTTACATGGATTTAAATTTGGCCAGTATTGCCGACTATTTATCTGGCCAATTTTTTTAAAGTAACATGATCTGTATTTGAAAAAAAATACCAATGCTTTAATATCTACATTTTTCAGGTGGTGCTTGCTGAAAGGAAAGGAACAGACGAGCTGTATGCTATCAAGATTTTAAAGAAAGATGTCATTATACAGGACGATGACGTGGAGTGCACCATGATAGAGAAAAGGGTCCTGGCACTTCCAGATAAACCTCCATTCCTAGTCCAACTCCACTCCTGCTTCCAAACAATGGTAAGTTATTTTTTTTTAAACCAAAATTAATTTTACTTGATTTTTAATATTGGTGACTAGGATCTGTTTTTAGTAGATGAACCTTTTTAACAAATACCTCTCTATTTTGTCCCATAATGTTTAATTGCGGTGGCTGAATCTAACTTCTGTGTTGAAGATTCCCACTGTTTACTAGTGTTGGAAGCTACTCTCTCTTAAATGGATGTGCAGTGATATAGGCTATTTTGAGCTTGTATTCCTGATCCAAATTCAAAATTGTGACCATAACACAGATCCTAACAATGACACCAGCAGTACAGTGTTTCTTCCAGACTTTTTTCTCCTGGAGAGGGGGAGGGACACATTGATTAAAGTATATATTTTCTATAAATTCCATTTCGATCGGGGGGGGGGTGGACTTTCTTAGAAGAGATGCCTGGAAGAAACTCTGCAGCAGTACTATAATTATTACTGTCCTGCATTTGTCATTGTTCAATAACTAAGGTTTGTCTCTGTTGAATTGTTCTGTTTTCTTTAAGTTGTCTATCTGCTATGAAGTTTTCTCTAAGTCTTCTGACTCAGGCTGTTTTGAAGTTTTCTCTAAGATATCTGACTGTTATGATATATGACTGTTATGAAGTTTTCTCTAACATATCTGACTGTTATGAAGTTTGCTCTAAGATATCTGACTTATGATATCTGACTGTTATGTAGTTGTCTCTAAGATGTCTGACTGTTATGATATCTAGCTGTTATGAAGTTTGCTCTAAGATATCTGACTTATGATATCTGACTTATGATATCTGACTGTTATGTAGTTGTCTCTAAGATGTCTGACTGTTATGATATCTGACTGTTATGAAGTTTTCTCTAAGATATCTGACTGTTATGAAGTTTTCTCTAAGATATTTGACTGTTATGAAGTTTTCTCTATTGTATGTGACAGGACCGACTGTATTTTGTGATGGAGTATGTCAACGGTGGTGACCTCATGTACAGGATACAACAGGAGGGCAAGTTCAAGGAACCAGTGGCAGCGTAAGTTTGTCTTGATGGCTCTGATTGGCTGGATAAGTTTGTGTTGATGGCTCTGGTTGGCTGGATAAGTTTGTGTTTATATCTCTGGTTGGCTGGATAAGTTTGTCTTGATGGCTCTGATTGGCTGGATAAGTTTGTCTTGATGGCTCTGATTGGCTGGATAAGTTTGTGTTGATGGCTCTGGTTGGCTGGATAAGTTTGTCTTGATGGCTCTGGTTGGCTTGGATAAGTTTGTGTTGATGGCTCTTATTGGCTGGATAAGTTTGTCTTGATGGCTCTGGTTGGCTGGATAAGTTTGTGTTGATGGCTCTGATTGGCTGGATAAGTTTGTCTTGATGGCTCTGGTTGGCTGGATAAGTTTGTGTTGATGGCTCTGATTGGCTGGATAAGTTTGTGTTGATGGCTCTGGTTGGCTGGATAAATTTGTGTTGATGGCTCTAGAAATAAAAAATTTTATTAATAAAATTCCGTTGTCTAATGAACCCACTGGAGGTTTCAAACTTTACTGTCTTTAACAGACCATGTCCAACCAGTTTAGATCAGTGAGTGCTTCTGGTTGGGGGTGATAAATTAAATATGGCTGAATATTTAAATTATAGTAGGCATGTCTACCTAGTTAAAAGCAGTGGTTGGGGATAATAAATATGGCTGAATATAGTGCTGACCAAATCAGCCCTTCATATATCCAGGTCACAGAAACAAGTGGACTCTACTTCATCTGACCTATAGAACTTTAGGCTTAAGAAACTATTGTTATTTTAGTTGCAGTCCTAATTGTGAGACACCGATTTAACTAATGAGATATTTATCTTTAATTGGGCTGTGAATCTTCTCTATTTCTAGGTTTTATGCTGCGGAAATAGCCATTGGACTTTTTTACCTCCACACCCAAGGCATTGTGTACAGGTATAGAGCTGTTCCTACCTTACTTAAGTTCCTAGTGTAAGACGCTGTTTCTACCTTACTTAAGTTCCTAGTGTAAGACGTAGCCCAATGCTTGATGTATGACCGTGTCCGCTGTTTCTACCTTACTTAAGTTCCTAGTGTAAGATGCTGTTTCTACCTTATTTAAGTTGCTAGTGTAAGACGTTGCCCAATGCTTGATGTATGACCATGTCCGCTGCTATAGAGCTGTTTCTACCTTACTTAAGTTCCTAGTGTAAGACGCTGTTTCTACCTTACTTAAGTTCCTAGTGTAAGACGCTGTTTCTACCTTACTTAAGTTCCTAGTGTAAGACGCTGTTTCTACCTTACTTAAGTTCCTAGTGTAAGACGCTGTTTCTACCTTACTTAAGTTCCTAGTGTAAGACATAGCCCAATGCTTGATGTATGACCATGTTTGCTGGTATAGAGCTGTTTCTACCTTACTTAAGTTCCTAGTGTAAGACACTGTTTCTACCTTACTTAAGTGCCTAGTGTAAGACGTAGCCCCACACTTGATGTATGATCATGTCCGCTGTTTCTACCTTACTTAAGTTCCTAGTGTAAGACGTAGCCCCCACACTTGATGTATGATTATGTCCGCTGTTTCTACCTTACTTAAGTTGCTAGTGTAAGACGTAGCCCCCACACTTGATGTATGATTATGTCCGCTGTTTCTACCTTACTTAAGTTGCTAGTGTAAGACGTAGCCCCACACTTGATGTATGATCATGTCCGCTGTTTCTACCTTACTTAAGTTGCTAGTGTAAGACGTAGCCCCCACACTTGATGTATGACCATGTCCGCAGGGATCTGAAGCTGGACAACGTCATGTTGGATGCTGAGGGCCACATCAAGATCGCAGACTTTGGGATGTGTAAGGAGAACATCATAGGGGACAAGACAACCAGGACATTTTGTGGGACGCCAGATTACATCGCCCCTGAGGTCAGGTTATATTTGAACTTGTTTTTTGTCATGGATATTAAGGGTCACTTATACAAATACTGACCACTGAACATTTTGTACACTGAGCACTGAATTTCATTAACACTAATGATTCAAATGTTGTAACGTAATGACTGAACTATTTTCAGGTGACTTATAAACAGCTGTGTGAGGGTAACTTTATATCTACACTTACTACTGTTCTTTGACTGGACACTTGCAATTTTTTAATCTAATTAATTGTTTTTTAATTTGATATAAAAGTTGTTCTAAATTGTATGTAATATTTTTACATTACACAGGTTTTTTTTTAATTTTTGATTGCTGATTTTCTTAATGACACAACTTATTTTTTTTTAGACACAACTTTTTTTTTTTAAAAAGACAATACACTGCAACCTATTTTTTTATAAGTTTTAATAGTTGCTTATTTCTGACTTTCCAGCTTTTTTTAAAAATAAAATTCTAGGTAATTTGTATCAGGACTAGATCTACTTTCTTTTTTCTTTCTTTTTTTTTTTTAATATAAATATATAGGTACATGTATCATGATACTTTTTTAAAATCTTAGTATTTTTTTTATCTGACACTCAACATTTTTAAAATTCTAGATAGTTCTGTATCAGCCGTATGGTAAATCTGTGGACTGGTGGGCTTATGGTGTTTTGTTGTATGAGATGCTGGCCGGGCAGGTAATCCCCCTTTGATCAAAATAGTCATATAGTGCGTATTTCCCTTGAAGTGATGTAATTGCTTATTTCCCTTGAATTGATGTAATTTCTGTCCTTTGGTGGTTTTGTTTTATAAACTCTTCTAAGAAACGTAGAGTACCTATCATTGTATGATTAAGTCAGATGTTAGTTATGTTGTAACTTGAGTAGAACAATGATAATGTCCAATCTCTTTAGCCACCATTTGACGGAGAAGACGAGGAAGAATTGTTTACATCAATCACTGATCACAACGTGTCTTACCCTAAAGCATTGTCTCGAGAGGCTGTGTCTCTATGTAAAGGGGTAAGCAGAGCCATTTTTTTTTGTTGAGGTGGGGGGTGATGGTTTATTTGTCTTGGTGAGGGAGTGATGGTTTATATGTCTTGGTGGGGAGTGATGGTTTATTGGTCTTGGTGGGGGAGTGATGGTTTATTTGTCTTGGTGGGGAAGTGATGGTTTATTTGTCTTGGTAAAGATCATCTTGCGACTTAGCAATCCATAAAGTAGAGTTCATGTTTCATGATCTCGGCATTCGAAGGGACGGTGTGGTCAGCACTTTGCCCAGCCGCTGTTTCTTTTTCCCCCAATGCAAGTTGGGTACCTATTAGAGTTGAATGTATTCAAGGACGCCGTACTGCCACTGGCCCCATTCCAAACCGAGATCTGAACTCAGACCTTCGGACTACTAGCCAAATGCTCTACTATTCAACCACGTCGTCTCATTATTTGTCTTAAATTTTTGTAATGTGGGGGGGGGGGAGTAATCATTTTATTTTTGAGAGCTGTGAAGTTATGATTTTTATTTTTGTGGGAATTGGCTGCGTGAAGTATTGATTTGTTTAGTTTAGTGTGTGTAGAAGGGGATGTTTATAACTTCCTGTTCTTTGTGGAATAAGTTGTAGGCTCATATAGACTGTGATCATTAATGTTGTCCCAATCAACAGTTGTTAACGAAGACGCCAACCAAGAGGTTAGGGTGTGGACCCAACGGAGAACGCGACATTAAGGACCACGCATTTTTCCGAAGAATCATCTGGGAGAAGATTGAGCTAAGGGAAGTGCAGCCTCCTTATAAACCTAAAATTGTAAGTTACCCTGCTGTGTTTCATTCTTGTCAAATTTAGGCATGGTTATGAAAGCTACATGTGAAGATCAGCTTTTGGGGGGTGGGGAGGGAGCTTTCATGATCATGCCAGTCTTTAAGCTGCTTGGAAGAGAAGGTAAAACGTGGATCATTGAGTTGTCTGTTCACTCCAATGTTTTTTTATTCTTTGGTGTCTGTTGGAGTTTTCCTTTCATTGTGGAAGTAGAAAGATTTCTAGAAAACTTTCATTTCAGTTTTGCATCTAATTCATTTACAGTTTTCTTTTAATCTGAATTTACATGAGTATTGAAATTAATGTATTAATTCTCATTTGGTTAAAAAAATATATTTAAATTATTGTTTCCAAAAATGGATTCACAAAAATAAAAAGAAGAATTGAAGATGGCATTTTTCAACCTAAGCTTATTTACATTTTAAATGCTGAAAAGATTTCCAAATAAAGTTTATACATTTTGGCTGGATCTTGTTAAAATAATTGACTTTAAAATTGTATGCTTATAAAAAAGCTGAAACAATTGATTAGCTTTTTCTTATAACTCTAATGAGATGTGATCTTCTCAAGAAAGAGTTTAGTTAGTCTAGTCTTGGCTAATTATTTACTTTCACTGACTGAGATTTATCATCCATTATCTGGTCACCTACAATTTTGTTAATTTGATAACTCGAGTTCACTTAATTTTTTTTAAATGTGTCCATGTGCATGCTCTGCTAGAGAGATGTTTGCTTAAATTTAATTAGCTAATTAATTAAGAAAGTTCTAAGTGTCCAGCCCAACTGCATGTCAGCTAATTAGATGCATTGTGAGCACACCCTGAGCTAAAGAGTTGTGTTTGCACAGTAGAAGTTTGACCGGTGAGCTAAAGAGTTGTGTTTGCACAGTAGAAGTTTGACCGTACGAGCTTGCTGTTGTAAGATGCCATCTTCATGTTGTTTTATTTTTGTCTCAACATTTGCACTTTCAATAAGTCGAGACTTACTTGTAGTAATAGTCTGGATGGTTTGAAGTCTTGCTGTTTTTACAAACAAATTTTTATATTAAAATATTTACTTTATCATGCTATACTAGATTTTACAGCAGTTTTTTTTTTCACTACAAAATAAATTTGACAGATTGATTTGAAAATTTGACAAAATATCGTGATTAGGGATTTTTAAAATTATCTCAGTAATATAATTGAATGAAAACGGAATCGTTTATTGTTGATGAATTTAATCAAATTTAAAGCCAATTTTATGCTGGTTCGGTACTAACATGTTTCAAACCACCCTCGATGATTTTCCTGTAGTCTACAATCTTTCTACAATTCCCTTTTGTTTTAGTTCATCATCTGTTTACTGTCTTCAGTGCACTTTTTTGTTTTAAATATCTATCATTTTTAAATTTCTTGTTTTTTATATGATGTTTTTTAATTTTTAAACACAAAAAAACAACATACAAAATACGCAGACGGACAAAAGAAAGGCTGAAAATTTTGACAAGCTGTTTACCAAGGTTCCGTTAAAGATGACCCCAATTGACAAACAGCTGTTGCGGAACATTGATGAGAACGTCTTTAAGGATTTCACCTTTACCAACCCCTACTTCGACCCCCTGGAGGAAAATACGCAATTGTAAATTGACCAAAATTTTTATCCTAGCTCATGCTCATTTTTTTAAGCTGCTATTTTTTTAAAACTCCCTCTGCCAGTTGTTATTAGTTGTTTTTTAAGCTTGTAATTTTTACCTAACTTGAAAGATATACATTTTTTATAAAGAGATTTTTTAATTACGTCAACAATTCATACCTTTTAAAAAATTTAAAGTTACAATTTAAAGTATTTTAAGTATTATGATAGTATTTTAAGTATTATGATAATATATACAAACCAGGTCTACAGTAAATTGTATGCATTGCAGCCTAACAATTTCCTATGCTTTTTGCATAAATTAGCCTATTTTGTGACTTAAGATAATGGCATTGATTTATTATAGCTCAGCATTGTTATATATCTACTGTTGCATTTCTAAAACTTAACTTGCTACAAGAAAGTGCTATCTATACAAGAGCTAACATTAACACATGCCAATTCTTTCACTTTGTAAGTCTTTGAGGGTTTTTAGAATGAAAGAATTTTAAATGACTTTAACAAAATTTTCTCTGCATTGCAGTTGTCAGTAGCATAACCTTCAACTCCCAGCCTCAGGAATAGAATATCAAATTTAGCCACACACACCCCCACATATTTTCAAATATTTATGTCAAAAGTGCAACTTTGGGCTGACACCACCCCCTAGTTACGCCACTCTTACTTCCCCTAGTTACGCCACTCTTACTTCCCCTAGTAACGCCACTATTACTGTCCCTAGTTACGCCACTATTACTGCCCCTAGTTACGCCACTGGTACTGTCCCTAGTAATGCCACTCTTACTTCCCCTAGTAACGCCACTATTACTGCCCCTAGTTACGCCACTGTTACTGCCCCTAGTTACGCCACTGTAACTGCTCCATTTCTGCTGTTCCAGTTTTCCTATTCCATTTCTGCTGACCAAGTACAAATTCCTGTTTTAGTCCAGCTAATATTTGTCCATAAAACAAAATGCGTAGATCTATCCATTTCCTGATAATATCAAAATTTCTTTCAATATGACTGCTCTAAAATCCATTCACATCATGCAAGAAACCTGTCTTTCAATCACCACAAAGATGCTCACTAACAAGTTAAAAAATAATATTTGCAAAGTAATGTTCCTTCATTTTTTTTTATTGATTAAAAATGGGTCTGAATCATGCCTTGTACAAATTGTGTATGATTGCAGACAATGGAAAAATGTTGAGTTGTAAGAAAAACTGTTTCTTTGTCTGTGTCATCAAGTAGGATTCAATAACCTCCATTCATCAAAGAACAATCCAGGCTTTATCAGGTTTAAAAATGTCCCCATTAGATACTTTTCCCAATCACTTCAATAAACTTTATTCTACCCATAACTAAAAACTTTTTAAACATTTAAACCCAATATTTGTGAGTGAATTTCTAGTTGCTAAAAGCTTGTTTCACTGAAATAGATGCTGAGTCTCAATGTTGAAAGTATTGACTGGACATGCTCAAAATCAAATTGTTAAATCACTGTACATAGATGTCATGACAGCATCCTCCAAACCACCTACCTTTTGCCAAAAAAAATAAAACCTCTTTTAGAGTAATTGGAAAATGTTAATGTGATAATCAGCTGATTTTATTACCTGTTAGTTGATTTATTAATTAGCTATTGTTTTTTAAATTCTAATTAAGGTTCTAATTAAGCGGAAGGCTGTTTAGTTTTTATCCTGTGGAAATTCAAATCTGATAAAAAGTAAGCTTAATATTTACATATTTCAGATTAAAGCAAATTTAGAGTATAATATCCATTATTTTTAGATTTCTGATTGATTTCATGTGCATAAATTAATCATAAAAGTGGAGAATGAAAGGTATTAACAAAATTAAAATTTAAAAATTGTGTCTGGTTTGTTATCAGTTATGAACAAAGAGAAGATAAATTTAGTTGACATAGTTGACATCTGTAAATTAAAGGAATGATAAATTTTTTAAAACTATCCTTAGTCTAAGAAAGATAACTTAAGTGAACATTATTGTTTGAATGGCTGGTACCTAGCTTTTGGCTAGCTTTTTTTTTATTTAACAAGATGTGTGGTATCTAAACAAGATACATGTATTAACATGTTTTATCTCATTTTTTTACTTGAATATTTTAACCCTGTATCATAGGCCATGCTCATACAGGCTCAATTGAAAGATATTTTGACTGAATGATGGGCAGTAGGGTGTTGCCAAACCTTTTTTTTTATGGTTACCATGGTAGATATTGAAAAAGATGAAGCCTTGATTTTTTCTACACACAAAGTATTGTGGTTATTTCAATGTATTTTATATTGAGAGTTCCACAGGAGTTCTTATTTGATTATAACAGTGGGTGCTTTGTGTTTGTTGTATACTTGTCATTTAAGTAGTTTAATGCTCAAATACACAGGGTATATTAGAGCAAGGATAAATAAACCGGTAGTGATCTCCCCTAAACTTTCTCGAATATTCTTATATAAAACAACAGGGGATGGTAACTGGGGATATAGTTATGATTTTTAATCCATTTTAAATACTGAAACTTTTAAAAATAGAATAGAATCTCAGTAAAAAACAATTGCGCACCAAGCGAACGCCTAATAAAGGTGTGTATAATAGTGCGCAATAGTATTAGTACTTAATAAATTTACATTAGTTTTTTGAGAAATCGGAAGTAGCGTAAATTACTACTTCCGGTCAACGGAAATTACTCAAAATTTAACAGAAGGTAGAGAATTAGATCTTTTACTTAATGTGAAATTTCATTTATCTATCTGAAATAGTACTCAAGTTATAGGCTTTTGAAAAATTCAAAGTAGAAAAAGTACCACTTCCGGTTGGAAATCGCTCAAAAGTTGATACGGATCTACGATTTTGATATAATACTTATATATGAAATTTCATTAACCTAGCTGTAGCGGTACTCAAGTTATTGTGTTTACACGGACACACAGACACACACACAGACACACACACACACACAGACATATGGACAAGATTGCAAAATTATGTTTTTCCGTATCAGTGAGGTGTAAAACGTCGAGATTTTTAAAAATCTCGATTTTTTTTTTTTTTTGCACGATTACAATACTTTCTCTATACTACGTATATACGAGAAAGTAGAAAGTACTCAGGGTATGTTAGAGCAAGGCTAAAAAAGTGGAAGGTTCTCAGGGTATATTAGAGCAAGGATAAAAAAAAATGGAAAGTACCAGTGAAACGCAATTTAAAACTGCTAATGCTTTCTATAGAAATTTTTAAATGTTAATAATATAATCCAATACCAAATGTTCCTGTATACTAAAATAATGTCCTTAAATAAAAAATAAAAACAGGGAAAGTTTGGGTAAAAACTCTTTAAAAAAATAACCTAGATGCCATTTATTTAATTATCAAAATCTAGAAAACAACAAATGTGGTGGGCAATGGTCTTATCCAATAAAAATAACTTAAGCTAGAAATGAAGAGGACATTACAAAAGAACATTTTGTATGGGAGCCAATCTTTATTTTAAAATAAGACTTTTCTGTGCTAATAATCTATATGGATAATTGAATTGGGTATCAGAATACAGGGAAACAAAAAGAGCTAATAATACTTTCAGCTTGTATAAACAATCATGAAGTTTAAATTCCCATGTGACACCCTAATTGTGGTTGATTGTGATTGGTATTTACTCAATGTATTCATTGTTTGAATAATTTTATAATTTCTGTGATGTCTAATGACTGTCAATTATTTTATGACTGATGTAACCTTACTTCAGTAAGTTTTTAATTGTAAATTATGTTTCTTTTATCTTTAATCCCATTGCTTCAATTAACATTTTTTGTAAGATGGAAACTATGCAATTTATAAACTGCGACATTTGAATATCAATAGTTTTAATTATATATTTTTAATTTAAGACTTTAGAAATTCATGTTTATTTTACATCTTTAAATAATAAACCAGTTTAAAGATATTTATTATTATCTGTACAATATATTCAGCATTTACTAGTGGCTAGTTATTTCATGAAGTGGCTAGTTGAAATTTAGAAAATCAGTTTTCTTTTAGCTGTCTTTGTTTTCCTGCCTGTAATGTTATTTTTAGCAATTATCCTTTGCGATTTTTCCACAAGGGAAAATATAAGCAGGAAACTTCTTTCCCCTTAAGCCCGATCTAATGCTCAATAAAAATAGATCTCACTATCCTACATTTAACTCTTTTTTTTTGTTTAACTATGAGGCATTTAACCCTAATCCTGCACCTATAAAAAGAAAACTGTTTAATTTAATACAAATATAACTCAGTATTTTTTTAAAAGTCGCTTAGCTTGTAGAAGTGCTAGTTTGTCTAGATTGATACTATGATGAAAAAGTTATTGATACAGTGTATTTTTATGTAAGCTCTAACCACAAATGTTAATGCCAATGTACAAATTGTGTTCATCTCATGACAGCTTGCTAAAGTACGCATTTATTTGAATGGTCACATTTCTCCAGTCATCACTTATTCTGGTCACACTTTTTAATTTAACCAACTAAAAAAATGATTTTGTCTATACAAATGTCCATCTTATCTAACGATGGTTGCGGGTGTGTATGTGCTGATGGGCCTACATTGTGTTGTTGACTTGTGTGTTACAGATATTGACCTGTATTTTTTTTACTCACCTGAGCACTCTACACACATGTTGATTGTGATAACCCCATGTGCCTTACTGTTTTCATTTGTACAAACTTTCACGACATAATAAATGGGTTTCTTTACAACCAGTTTATCCTCACAACTTTTTTATTCCTTTTTTTTTTATTTATTTTAAAATACACTTTACTACACCTTAGAGATCCATTATTTGGATTTTTAAAAAGGTTTAAGTAGAAGTAGAGAAGACTTTGATTGGCTAATTACAAGAAGACTTTGATTGGCTTAATGTAATTAGTGCTTTAAAAATCGTTTGATAAGTACATATAAACATGTATCAATAGAAAATATCTTCGTATTTATAAGTTGAAAAAAATCTGGCAAACCTGATTTTATGAGAAGTCAGCTGGCAGTTACTGATGTCATGGATAAAATTCTTATGTCATTATCCGTTGAATGGATGTAGTGGTGTCCTGAAGGTAAGACTCTTACATTATCCATAGAGGTTGATTCTCCCCCCTTACCTACATTCCGCTTTAGAAGCTACTATCATAATCCCCCCATTGCAATGCTGTATCCTCCCATCATGAATATATAGGGGACAGCTTTCTTAGTGATTATTAAAGATGTTTTGTTTCAAATCTTTTTCTTTAAAAATATTTATGAAAATGTTTATACTAATAACAATAACATTTTAAATGTTTAGAGCTAAAAGTTGATGTTTTTTTTTTAATTTGATAGCACTGTGTTTATCAACAAGCACCTGCATGAAACTGTTCTGTATTGTCTTGGTTTTTGGCTGTTATTTTGTTGCCCAATGTGGACAAACCATTCTTTTTAATCAGTGTATAACTTACTTATTGTAGCACAATAGAAGTTTGACTAATTAGCTTCACAGTATAAGTTTGACTAATTAGCTTCACTATATAAGTTTGACTAATTAGCTTCATAATTAACATCAACACACAGCATCTTTAATATGTTTTGTAGCTGATAGATATTCATATTCTTAAAGGATTATTTAGATATTTTATTTAAATAGTTAACCATTTTTTTCCTCTCCACAAAGCAACTAACCAATCAATAGTTTACTAACATCAGCATTGCTGACATTTTTGTCAGATTTTTATTTAATATCACGCTTTTTAAAAACATAAAAACATCACTGCATATTTTTTTTATTGAAACGCATTAACTATTATTTTATTAAAGATGTTTTTTTTTCTTGCTTTCCAGAAAAGCCGAAAAGATGTGAGCAACTTTGACAGAGAATTCACATCTGAGGCTCCGAAGTTGACCCCGACAGACAAGCTGTTTATAATGAATTTAGACCAGTGTGAATTTTCAGGGTTTTCCTACGTCAATCCTGAATTTGTTGTCACAGTGTAGGTGTCGCTGGTTGTCTAGTTTTGTTCAAATAGTCTTGTCTTGTTAACTAAGGCTTCACAAAATTTACAGAGGGTTGTACACAGTTTACATAGCCTTTCAACTTTTATACAGTGTAAATTTATATAAATTTTATAGATTCTCAAACTTACCGATTTGCTTGAAATTACGGTTTAAATATAGACTACCAAAAAAAAACAACTGACAAGTGTTCTGAATTAAAGTTCCAGTTTTACTTTTAAAAATGTATTACATCGATAATTTAACAGATTACTGACCTATCTGTTATGCTTGATATATTAAAACAGGATTTTAAAGTGATTTTGAGCAGTTATCTTAAGTGATGTAATGAAATGGCAGAGGTTCAGATTGTAAAATTCAAGAATTTAGATATAAAGATTTACAATTCTGTATTATATTGAGCTATTCATACTGAAGTTACAATGAAGCAAATTTTAAAGACCGGTTGTAAAAAAAAAACTTGTTAGGTGGTAAAAAAAAATTCTGGATAATGATAAAAAAAATATTGGATTAATTGGTTCTTGCTCTTCATGTTGACAGAAAAAATGTAATCTTCGACTTTTTGCATGAAATAATTTCTAAGATAGCTTCTATCCTTGTTGCATGGATTCAATGAATGTATTTCTAAGGAGGTTTATGACAAAGTTGAGAGATTTACAAAAGAACATTAGTGCAATAAATGATTATATTCTTCCACTTAAGAGAAATGTTAGGTATAGCACAATTGTTGAGGCAGGCTATTTGCTCTTGTCATTTTAAGACATTGTTTCAACAGGACAAAAATGTAGCCAAAAATGTGTTCCGTAACATTTTATGTAAGGATTTTTTAAAAATAGAATTCAATAAAAATAAGAAACAGTTTTTTTTTTAAATTAAAGATTGTTTAATTGAGACAACAGACAGATAACAACTTAAAAACACAAAAGAGCAGATTCAAAAAGTTAGTTTTTTATATAATTATTTATAGAACACAGGGTAGGCGTTGGCTTGTGTTGTTTTTACTGAAGAATTAAAATCAATTTTTTTTAGACAAGCTCTAGAAATTATATCTTACTAAATCCAATACGCTGTCTTGTTTATGCTTAGTCTGCTGAAAAGTTTATTCCAATATTTTATAAGCAATTTCATTTTTAGCATAAAATTTCAATAGCCACATTCATATTTATTAATGACTTCCATTTTTAATAATTAAAGAAAATTGAATTTAACCTTTTAAAATTCACAAATTTTCAAAGCTAATGTTGATCTTGTACACTAACTTTGTGTTTGTTGTCCATACACTATTTATAGATTGTTCTATTATCAATGCAGTATTATGTTGGGGAAAAGTATACAAGCTGTGTTGAATATTTTAACTAAATTGTTTCCCAATTATAGACCTACTGGTAAAGTTTTTGTCTGATGTGATACATTTTGCAGATTATTTTTAACATTGCTGTTAATGCTTTTTAAAAATGTACACATGAAAAGTGTTTAGAATGTTTTAAATTTATTTTAAAATGTTTTATTCACTATTCAGTTTAAAAATCTGGTCATGTCTGTAATTTACTTAGAAAGATATTTAAATAATCTAGAATTTGTTGGTTATAAATTCATTATTTTAAAAGTACAAACAGTTCTAACTTAAATTCTAAAGCATTGTAAATGGTTGCTCAAAATAAAAGCTCATTTTAAATAAGTTAATTTGCAAACGAGATTTGTGTTTTTTAATAGGCCCCTAATTCTTGAACAAAGTGATGGAATATCTTTCCTATTAAAGTATGCGTAAGCCTAAAAATCAATAAACAAGAAGTAAACCATTGGGAATATTGGAACAAACATTTAAAATTGGCATTTCTACACAATTGTATTGCTTTTTTATTTGGAAGTTCAACTGTTTTTACTTTAATTTATTTTGTGACTTTCTAGAACTGGATATCTGGTTTGTTTCATTTTTGTAAATATCTTTGTATTGTTTTAACTAAGCTTAAGCTATTGTACTATATCATTAAATCAAGGTTCAAAAGTGTGCAAAAAAAATGTTGAATGAAACTATGTAAGTTTAATTTAGACTTAGTTTTTAGATTTTTTATTTCTTTAAAAAATTAGAAAACAAATTCTTTGGTATGTTAAGCAGATATAAAAATATTGTTTAACAAAATAAGTAGCTGTTTTTTTTTTGTTAATGATATTTTAGTGAATGGCTATAGAAGTGACAACCATACCTGAAGTCATGATATATTATCATGTAATCAGGCTGTAGTTTCACTCTTTTGTTCATGAAACATTAACACAACTTTTTTTTTTAATTTGCATTTTTTTAAAATTGTCAGTGTGTTGTGAAAAGCTCAAGACATCATATATTACAACTCAACAAAATTTCATTTTCTAGACTATTTTTAACTTTAAAACACACAAGAGTTCTCTAACATAGCAAATCCTTCTGATTGACTGCAGAATGGCCCTATTTTAGAATGTATTAAAATATTTCGCCTAAGTACAATAGAAATTGATCAACTATTATGTAAATGTTTTTTCATGCTCATTGTTACAATGCCTCACAATTTTTCATTTTGAAAAAATTATTTTAGTTTTTTTTTTTTTTGACAGACATTACAAATTTGAAGTAATGTAACAACAACAAACTATAAAACCTTTCTGGAGCCATTTTTTTTTTCACTTACATTCATTAGTTTTCACAGGAAGTCTAAAGCACTTATGGTTAGTGAAAGTTGCACGCTATTCAAATTCATATATTGTATTTAACAGAAACATTACAGTTTGTTAGAACACTCTCCTATTTTTTATACTGCTTGATCAATTCTTTGTTAATAATGATCATAACATTCAGGATTTAATTTTTTTATTTTTGTTTGTGAATTTTCACATGTTTTACTGGTAATAATTCCTCTATATTTTTATAATAATCTAAAAATGGCCTGGCTTCTTTTTTTATAAAAATAAACCTGTTTCTCAACAATTTAGTATGCCAGTTTGTATAGCTAAAGCAGTAAATTGCATCGGTGTAATGTTGATGTGATAGCTGTCATTTGTGCTACTATTGGTTATCCATGTGGTTCAATTTATCTTGAAAATTACTTTTTATTTCAACCGATGTAACACATTTCCACACAGAAATTGTTAAATAACTATGAGCATGTTAAAAATGTCAAGGAACAAAAACAACACACATTTAGGTTTAGAAATTAAAATTTGCACGACACGACCTATTTTATCTGGCAACTTCCCCAGCACTGCTAATCTTTTCTTATGCTCAATACTATTTTTAATTCCACCGTGTCAACAAATTTTAGCTTGGATGTATATTTTTATTGAAATTTTGTATCAGAATCATTGTGCATTTTATCATTTTGTAATACCATAGTTCTATCATGTTTACAACTACATTTTTTGATGAGCTGTTTGGGGAAAATTTTATTATTACATTGACTCTATATTTAGGATAATTACGCAAGGACAATTTGGTCATTAATAAATGTAGTAAAATGTATATTCAAAAGGTAATATATTTGTGTTATCAGAATGTGAAGTTACATTTTATTAGTAAGATTTATTTAAACTTAAAGTTTATTCTTCCTCATCTTGTATCATCTTAATCACATAGCAGTAAAGATATAATCGTACGTATTTTTATTTAATCATGATTCTGTTAACGGTCAAAACATAAATATTTCCTTTACACACATGCTGTGTTAAACATAATACATTTGTGTCATAATTCATGTTTTAAAGAAGGAAATAATACTTCAGAATTGAAATAAAATTTACCATCTGTTTGTACTTAAGAAATAATTACTCCACGAGTAAATTTAACAGGTTTTGCAATTAAAACTGTCAAATGCACGTTAAGCAGATTCTCTATTCTGGATTTAACGAGCGCCTAGTTGACCAAGAAGTTTGTGTGAATGCAAGTACACCCAAAGCTAAAGTATTATTTAATTTCTGCTGCCATCTCTCCATTACTTGAAATATATCTGTAAAAATTCACATCATGTTTGATTCACACAAAGTGCATTTCTTCATAATGAGTAACAAACAACTGCAGTCCTTTCTTTAGTATTTTTTTTTAGGTAAAATTTATGTTTTAATTTTATACTCTTTTTCTCTATACATTTTTACAAATATAAAAATCCCCCTAAATAAATTAGTAATGTTAAATCAACCTCTACTTTTTAAATTCAAATAAATAAATTTTTATATCCTTTTAAAAAAACTTTTCCTAAATGTTTTTTAAAGATTAATATTAATCTATTTATAATAATAAATTTCAGTAAGTTAGTATGGTTTGTTGACTTCAGGCATAAGAGTGCCATTTTGTACAAATTTTGAAATATTTTTGTGTGTGAAGTGGTCAGTTTGTGGTCAAATAATGTCTGCTGGTTTTAACATTCTAGTTTTTATCTCACTTAAGCTACACATTTATCATATTGCCTCTGTGTGCTTCTATTCATAATTGACTACCATACTTCTATTTGTAATGTATATTATTAAACTAATTAAAGATTTTTTTCCCCTTTTCAAACTGGTCATCTTATTCTTTTATGATCTAACATATATATACAAGTCTTGTTCTAAATTTATCCCTACAATTTTCCACACTGAAAATGTAAAATAATTTTTAAAGTATACACTGTAATGAGCATTAAATAATTGAAATGCAGTTATCAAGCTTGAGATTATCCTGCTGAGTGCTGGGCTTATATAAGCACATATAGAACTGCCCAAAATCGAGTCTGGTGGAAAAGTGAGACTGCCGCCCTTTGCTCCCCAGGGGCCATTTAAGTTAAGTATTCACAGTAATAGAAATAAATCTATCTACAATCAGGTTTCAAAGATACATATATCTTCTGGTGTATAATAAATAAATGAACAACTACTTTTGTGTATCTTAACAGGGCAAAGTTTCTTGATGTTTTAAGAAATACCCAAGAGTATCTTATTTTTTTTTAGTTTTTGTTGATCATTACTTAAATTAAACATAAATAAAAGAAAATGTAAGAGAAAAAACATTTATTGTCATGTGGAATCAAACATAAACAAAGATAAATTCTTTTCATCTTCCTCAAAGACATCCCTACTATTGTCAATTGTTTTGTTATCTTCTATAGGTTTATTATTAGTGTAGGTTTTAGTTTTAGACTTGATCCCATGAGATTTTTTCATCTTTGAACTGTTTGTTGACACTGACAGTGATTTGACTTGTTCATAAAACCTGAAATGAACCCAACAAACATTAAGAAAGCAATAATTTTTTTAAAAATATGTTAGTGATCAAGTAGTAGAGCACACAATTTCTAACCAAAAAGTCTCAGTTCATTCCCTGGGTTTGCCTCTGTAGGTGATCATACAGCTCCTACAGGTATCTATTACTAGTTGAGGAAAATAAGGATGGTATGACATAGTACTGTCAACACAATCTCTTAAAATCTATCATCAGAAAACAGATAACTCTACTTCTTCTGCTCTATAGAATTGTACTTTTAAAATAACTGTATGGATTTATTCAAGAAGTGTAAATAAATGTTTTAATTAAATTGAACCAGTCCCAAAGGGACATAATTTAAAATATGCATATTTCATGATTAGTAGTTTACAAATTGAAGTTGGGAAGGAAAAGGGAGACAAAAAAGAATAGCAATAACATACTAATTACATTGTTAGCCTGAATATACTTAGAAAATAAAGCTATCACTTTTAACACTCCATATGAAATATAAAATACCATCCCAATATAACAAGTTACATGATAGAAAATTATACATCAAGAAAAATTAAAAACCAAGCAAGTGAAATATTCTTGAATAGACTTATTTATCAATAGAACTTGATGAAAATAGCCATGGCAAAAAGAAAAGGTTACCTGTTGATTCTGCAGAAATTTTCCTCCATTTTACTGTTTGCAGATTCAATTAAATATTTTATGTACTGAAAAAAGTAAGAACAATATTTTACCATTATGATTGTTTTAAAAATACATTATAATACATTCTGAGTTACAAATGTGTAATACCTGTTGCGTTACCAGAACTTGACCTTTGGAAGACAAAGGGGCTTCTAATGAATGAGTGCCTCTCACAGCCTAGAAAATGGTGAAATAGATTTTTTTATTAAAGAGGAAAATGTCATAAAAAATAAATCCTGAAATAGTCAGTCATTTCTGGTCAGGTTTATGTCATTTAATTGAATTTTTCAAAAGTATTAAAAGCAAGAAATAAGAGTAGGAACAAACAGTTTAAAAATATGGATCCTACCATCATTATTTTCCCTTTACTTCCTATCGTGATGCCTGAGTTTCTGAAACCAGATGCCACTGCTGCTTGATGCTACAATAGGTTTGTAATTCATGAAACACAGATGAGCAATTAAAATGTCAATTTTATTTTAAAAACATTGATACAAACGTGTAACAATCAGGTAATGTTTATAATTCTTAATATAAAAACATATTAGATTTTGAGTACTTTAAAAAATAAAGAGAAATGCAATACACCAATTTGCAATTACCTTATGGATTTAAAATACCATTACATGATAAAAAAATATATCAATGCATATACTTTTGGTATTGAACTAAATTAATTACATTAATCTACATTTGACGTACCAATTTCTGAGCACTTTCCAAATCTTGACACTGTATGTGCATCACCATTGGTTCAAACTTAAAAACTGCCTCGTCTGTTATATTCTCTAGAGATTTTTCCTATGAATGTAAGATTTTGAATTCAAAGCTAAAAACTATTAGGCCCCTTAATTAATTTTATAATATAATCATTAAAAAAAAGACAATCAGTAAAATTTTCAATAGTTCTACATTCAAGATAAGTAAGGTATTTTAGAAATAGAATATTTACTATAGCTTCAAACTCCACAGGAACATGAGACACATACAGCCACTGGCATCCTTTTTTCTTTACTGTTTCTGATTGCTGAAAAATTAATTAAGGAAAAACACTGATAAAGGGAGATAAAATTAAATGTCAGAAGAAATATGTTTTAGTTTTAGGCCTAAATATATAAACTACAGGCCAAGGTCTAACTTTCATTAAAAATTATTAATTTCACAATCTAAAAATAGGTGTTGGGAATACTATTCAATAATCCAAAACCAAACTATTAAATTCTAATATTATAGTACTCCTTTTAGTAGTAATAGATTCTAATACTAATGTATACTATTACAAAACAATTTTATTAGATACATATTAATTTGAATAATAATATATTTTGCTGGTAAGGAAATTAAGCTGTATTTATTCCCTTTAGACTTTATCTGTCTACTGATTGAGTGGGTGGGAGGAAGAGAACTTGTGTTCATTCTATGACGTATGCTGAACTCACAGTGACCTCACCGACCGTGGGCCGTGGTGGGATTTTCCACTCACAGGATAGTAAACGTAAGGCAAGCAAGCAATCACGACAGTGACGATGTTTGGAAATTTAATTTAAAAAAAAAAGTTATAATTTCAATATGAAAAAAAATGTTAACCAAAAAAAAAAACTAGTACTGGCCGAGCTAACCCGGATTCTAACTTGGAACTCAGGGTTTATGAACTACAGTCTACAGCTGGCACACTGTTAACTCAACCACACCGGATGTGATGGATATGTAAAAAGTAAGCATTTTCAATTACAAAATGGCAAATCCAACCTGCGAGACGCGTAGTCTACTCCTTAGGGGCCACGCTCTGTGAGATGCGTTGTCACTTCGAATTGAAAATTGTGTGACTAGACGTCTACAGTCTACATAATAGGCCTATATTTTATATTAAGCCTAAATTCTATCTATAGACTAGGCCCTATCAAGCTAACACTGGGTGTGGTAAATAACTTATAAATAGTCGCTAGTCTCATAGGCCTATAGGCTCATTATTGTGATAAACTTAACTATGAATACATTAAAACTTGACTTCATACATACATTTTGAAATACAATAATTCGTCCTGAGCATGAGCTTGTGGTAAAATATTTTGCATTAGCGTTAATAAAGTGTACAAGTTCAACTAGTGCATCATCAATTGCGCCTTTTCTAGACAGATCTGTGTGCTCCAGGCGCTGCATCTTCTGGTTTGTAAATGCCATTTTCACACAGAGGTCTAGAGAAAGAAAAATAAATTCACTAGGCTTATGAAATTAAGTTAACAATTATCTAGTCACTAGTACTACTAGTAGTAGTATTTGGGGAAAGTGTTCGGCACTGTTCGGATAACATACCAGATCTCTAACAGCTGAGTGGTCACTGAAGAATTTTTATCAACAAAATAATGCGCTTGTAGGCCTAAATAGTAAATAATAAATATTATATTACTAAATTAATAGGTAGATCTGTAAGAATTTCAATTTAGGCCTAGAACTAGATTCTACTTACTAAACTACTTTTAAAAAAAAATTTCTAGATCGAGAAAAGTTGTCCAAGCCTTGGTCCAAGGAATAGATCTACTTCAGAGGTAATCTATCGTTTTAGGTTCGCAAAATCGCCAGCGACTAGTAATGTGAAAAACAGGTGACTCCTTAAATTTTAATAATTATTATTATTTCACATTTTGATGAGGATTTATGTTTTGAAAAATACAAAAATGTGTCCTTGTTTCATTTATGTACCTGTTTTTAAACAATTGAATTAAAACTTTTCAGTAATAAATGAAGACTAGCGATGTTTTCATCAGATGCAACCATGCTCATTACTATAGTAGCCATCTTGTTTAAGTTTTATTTTGTTAAACTTATAGCGGGAGATTCAGGGGAAGCCACTCTATTTTACAAATGACTGTTGTTTATCTGGCAAATCTTGCTTGCAAACACTGCTGTTTAAAGTTAATTTCTGGCCTATATTCAGTATTGATAGGGCCTAGGCCTATATTTATTATTTAGCCATTGATTTTGGTTTATTATTCATTTATCTATAATATTTGACACAAATATTTCACAATATAGATCTACTTCTATTATTAAAGCCTTGACAATGAGGTAACTTTTTCGTACATTACTAGTACACTACAATTACAATAATAGCCGCGGCCGATTTTACTTACCTAAACTTTAGGGGTAATCTATCGTTTTGGGTACGTAAAATCGCCCTCGGCTATTAATGTACGAAAACGTTACCTTATTGTCAAGGCTTTAATAGAGGTATATTGTCAAATGTTTGAGTCAAATATTATAGATAAATGAATAATATTAATAAACCTAAATCAATGGCTAAATATATCGATATACGCCAGAAATTAACTTTAAACAGCAGTGTCTGAGAGCAAGATTTGCTATATAAACAGAAGCCATTTGTAAAATAGAGTGGCTTCCCCTGAATCTCCCGCTATAAGTTTAACATCGCTAGTCTTCATTTATTACGGAAAAGTTTTAATTCAATTGTTTAAAAATTTAAAAACAGGTAGATCTAGGCCCTACATAAATGAAACAAGGTCACAAGGAAACATTTTTGTATTTTAAAAAACGTAAATCCTCCTCAAAATGTGAAATTTTAGGTCCTAAACTAAACTTACTAAAGTCACGTAAAGTGTCCTTCCTTAAGCTAAGCCTGTCCTAAAGCGATAGATTAGCTAAGATTACGGGCTCCGTTGACCCTAAAAACAATTATGATGCAGGGTTTATTGTTCAAGTGGCCTATTACTATACTATTAGATAATAAGTAGTAAAAGAAAATTAGATTCTAGATCTATACCTTGATCTAATCTAGAATCCTAGGTCTAGTTAGTAGTAGTAGTTAGTTTAATTTTAGTAGTTTGTTTATTTATATATAAACCGGAAACAGTGTATACGCCAAATGACAGATGTCTCGTTGTTGCCCTACCTCACCCAAATACACGCAAACTTGTAGCTACTCTGCAATTTGAAATCAGACATAAATAAACATATAGATCTAGATCTAGAAGGCAAAATGCATCGGAGCACGTCCATTGCCCCTTTCCCGCGATGAAATAGAAAAAAAAATTTAGGGCCTACATATAAAATGTATATGCTATTTTTAAATGGTGTCCGCCCCACTATTGAAGTTTTAAGCGCCCCCCCCCCTCCTCGAGAAAAATACACGGAAATAACACTGCTTACATTCCACAGGACTAAATCAAAAGCAATATAAAATGCCCGTTAGATAATGGGAGGAAAGTATGGGTAGCTTCACAGCATAATTTGAAAATAAAAGCCAAAGAATGTAGCCCTACATCTAGGCTATGTGGTTGGTTACATTAAATATTTGTTGTTTTTGAAACATCAGATATTTTAATGGCAGGATGATCGCTTTACCTTCACTAATGCAACAATCATCAGCAATAATTCGTAAAGACGACTCCTACGGGTCTTTAACTTTGCATAATATTGGCATGCTATGTGAATGTTGCTAAAATTGCGACGGTAAGTCTTCGAAAGAATGAACAAGTAAAAGATGGCTTGATAATGTCCTGGACCCTTTGCCATTTACGTGTTAATCAATATTAACCGTATAATTTCATAACTAATCATTATAATTATGAATTATGTATTAATAAAATAAAATTATTTTAACCAAAAGGCTAATACTAATTCTAGCGGCTTTTAAAATCTTGGTAAGTGGGCGAACCATCAAGGATAGCGACCGTACGTTCATGTATGTTGACGAGAACTGTCAATTCAATGTCATTTTGCAATTCATTCTAGGAAAATACCTCAACAAAGTTAACAGAGCTTTACCGTAAAAAAATTGGGCATATAAGAAGGTTAGTTACTGCTATTAAATCAAAATGTAATCACAATAACTCCCTCCAATTCATTTAGCGGAAATTATAACAAATAAAAATAAAAAATCATGCTGTTCTGTGTTCAGAACTTCAGTCAGTGTTCAATCTGTTCATGTTGTAAAATAAAAGTAGACCTGCCCTCGTCCAGGCCTAGGGTAGTGGACTATAGAAGAGGTAGACTGTAGGGCATAGGGGCAGTGCAGTGAGTACAAAAACCAATTGTAGCGTGGAAGTGATTCAATTTGTTCATTTCACTAGTGTAGTTACTACTAGTTAGTTAGTAAGTTAGTTAATCATGATAATGAATAATGCCGCCATGCTACACTCTTATCTTTACATCACTTCTTAAATTAAATTTTTAATACTATAATTCACTTACTTTATACTCTCTTAAATTAAGTCTTAATGCTACTCAGTAGGCCTATACACTTTTGTGACTTTAAACTTCACTGAACATATTAACAAATGTTAAATGTTAAGTTACCATTAGATGCATTAGTCCTACAAACAATGTCCATTCAATGTAATATCAATGTAATGTTTTGTTATTTTTGCCACTGCTTTTCTCTTTTCTGGTCTTTGTTTTTTTTCATTGTGCTTTTCCACACAGGCTGTAAAAATGAATCTCGAGGTTTGTTTTTTCACCCCTTTCATAATGTTAAGTGTCATCAAATAATTCTGAAACAAAATCAGTTGTAACTTTTTCTGGGTGTTTTTTTCCACTGACTTCTAAATCAGCTCAAGTCCGGTTACTTGTATCTCAAATTTTGCTCAAATGCAAAAGCAAATTTTAGCTCGTTCAACCGTTGCTATCTCAAAAATCCCGTATGTCGGGGCACTCGTTCCACTGTAAGTGTAATACTAAGTAATTAGTAATATAAATAAAACTTTACTAGACTAGTTAGTTGATATTATAATAATATTAATAACTAGATTTCTTCACTACTAAAACTGCTAGATCTAACTAAACATAGTATACTACTCACTTTACTTTACACTTAACTTTTTACCTTTATGCCATGGTCATTTACAAGATTTTTTACTATTTTTTTGTATTTCTTTTTAGTCCCTGGCTAGACCAGAGTTGCTGGAGAAAAAATGAGAAATATAATACTAAACTAAATGTTTCTTAATAAATTAAATACTTATGTTAAGTAACTTTCATTATGCAAATGATTATGTTATTGGTAAACCTGGTTTGTGTGAGTAGACCTAGGACATATCCTATGGTGCTGGGCTATCTTCACAGACTAGAGTGTTGCTCTAACTGCTAACAGAGCAGTGGAAGATTATAATTTATAATCCTATGCTAGTAATCTAATAATTAGAACTTAGTAATAGTTTCAGTGCAGTGCTGAGAAATAGTAAAAGGGGACCATGTGATGTAGCTAATTGTTTTCCTTATGAACTTTGAGTGATAATACAACAAATATTTTTATTTTAGGTCATACCCACATTTTCATATATTAATAAAAAATAATTATATTTATATAATTAGGCCTATAACCTACATAGAAAATAATGGTACTTGATTTAGTTCATTTTTAAAAAAATGATGTTAGTAATTTACTATTTGTTTAAGACATTAGCCTAATCTTTAGGATAAAGTTTGATAGTATAAAACTATAATATAGCCTAAATAGATAACTGCTTCCACCCTTGTTCATCTTTAGGATAGTAACATGACAGTAGGCATAACTGCTAATTATAATTAGTGATATTCAAACAACTGTGGGTTTTTTTTCTTCAAATTTTGGAATCTCTCTCATTCCCATCTGCCAAGTAGGCTTTCTTTGTGCAAAACTTGTAGACCTATTTTGTGCAATACTTGCGTAAAACTCCTTCATATGTACAATTATTCATCATACAGCTGCCAGTTTCAGGATTCTTGAGTGTATAAACACAAAGTATTTACAAGTGTAATTATATTAAAGGTATCTGTGTAATTTAAAATAATCAAGAACTCTGCCTTTCAATTGATTGTAGAAGCATACACAAGCACCTGCTTGGTTATAAACATTAGGGAATATGGTGTCTGGGGCTTTGTGGTGAGTAGACTCCCTCACTTTGAAAACTCCTAGTACCAATTTGAGAAATGGTTTATTTTCATATCAATTCAATGTGGTGACAATAAATTTTACTACTTAAGAGTGGTTACATAGCCCAACCAAGTGATTTTTTTAAAAAAGTGCTTGTGCATGGGAGTGTTGTTTCGTTTTCGTGATTTTTTTTTTCTGTCCTAGTTATTTCTAAATTCTTTGGTTGGTTTCATTTACATGTTGATTAATTTTATAGGGGTGGAGGGGGTATGTGGAAGCAGATTTATCTGTGATCTTGACTTGTCAATATTTTAAAACTCCCGACCGTCGAGGAAAAAAATAGCAGAATGTGTATTTTTAATTTTTGTTCACATCTGCTTGAAGCTTGTCGTCCACGCGTAGTGCACGATGTTTGTGCCTTGTCGATGACGCGGTTGTCACGGAGCCATGGGACACCATCCCTCTTGTCAGGAGGTATCGATAAATCAGTATCGAAGTTTGTATTACAGTCGCG